GTGAGAATGATAATTTCAGATATTGTTAAACTATTGAGCACATTTTTGATTCCGGATCACTTAAACAACTAGAAAAATACCTATTTTACCTTGTTCATMTTTCATTTCTTGCTCTGTACCCCTGTGGATAACTTTTTCATCTTGGGTGATTTCCCTTGTTTTCTTTTTCTCTTTTTTAGTTTTCTTTTTCTTAGCCCTTTTTTCTTTCTTCTTTTTTCTTCTTTCTTTCTTATGTTTTTGTTTGGCTTTCTTAGCCTTGGATTTAGATTTAAACTTACAATCAGAGGATTCAGAATCAGAATCTGAGCTTGTACTAGACTTACTGTCACTAATTTTTCTTCGCTTCTTTTTACGATGTTCGTCTTCACCCTTCATCGTTTTCTTTTGCAGTTTTCTAAAAATATAAGAATGCCGCTCTCTTTTTTCAGAAGAACGTTTTCTCTTACGTTTATCTCTTTTTCTTCGTCTCTCTGAGCTCTCAGAAGAACTAGAAGATGAACGACTAGACGAAGATGATGATGATAATGAACTCGAACGACGTCTTTGCCGTTCAGTTTTACGAGAATGACTACCTGAAAACTCTCTCAAAGACATAATGAGCAGAAAAACCTATTCTATGCGGACAAACGGTTGGTTATATTAGATAAATTGAAAACATAGCACTTCGTCCGCCATGTTGGACGGTATAACAGTTAAAGGACTGGTGACGAGTGGTTATTAAAGCGCAAGCGCAGATTCATATCGCAAATCTTCGTTTACTTATTTATTTTGGTCCTTTTTATCGTCCCAGCATCCTTAGAATGACTAAAATCAATGAAAAATTGCCCTATTTTATAATTAAGTAAAATGAAAATAATATTTTGGTTTTAACGCTAAGAATCCTGGTCATGATAGGGGGACAAATGAGAAACTACAAAAAATTGTATACAGCAATGATAGRCAGGAATCGTATATCGTAAGAATGTCTATAATTTCTGTAGTTAGCTTACCAATTTTTGCGTGTGTGTTCTTGCTGTTGTTCTTTGTCTCTGTACGCGATTTGGAACCAATCCGACGAGTTTTAGTCTTTTTATACGGTTACCAATATACTGAGACTTAATTTAAAAGCTGTCCCCCTTATAAGGCCTTATATACAAGCCATAGTGAATATAGGGCAATTCATCAGATCATAATCTAGGGCTACATTAATTACACAGATCTATTAGACCCGAGAACTACGTGCCATTTCTCACTTAATTTCTGGCTTCTTTTCGCCTTCATTTCCTTCTAATGCATATTCCAATCCCATACTTCATTTTCGAGTGATTGTTCGAGTGATTGTTCGAGTAACAATACAATCAACTATTGAACTTGAAAACGTTAAGTCTGCGTTAATTTAAAAATAAAGACTAGACTATTATCTTGCCATCTCGCGGGTGTCGATACGCTGATACGGCTGCGCGCGCGGGCGGGACATGACGAATATTTCTCTGTCGTTGTAGCTAAAATATATATACTAATTTATTGTAAAAGCAGATTATTTTTTTTCAAAGATTTTTTGCAGGGAGACTGAGAGTTTTTTCAACACGATTAAGTAAGAAAGCTTGAATCCGCAAGAAAAAAAAATCGATGTGAATGAAATTCATTGCTGCTTTTCTTTTGCCATTTCCACCCTTTATTACGCACCAGGAAATAGACTATTGTAACGGAACTGTATCTAAAACGAAAGCGTTGATGTTTTTATAAAATAAAAGATTGAATTTTAGCGAATTTACATATCCTATTTTCTATTTTTTTCTTCTTTCTTTGTTGGTTGGAGTGAATCCTAAATTCTCGCTAATGATTTGACAGAATTCAAATCCTATAGGTAGGATTTTATCAGTAATTTAAGGATAAGTCGTTAAGGGGATGGATATCGTCAGTACGTGGTGAAAGTGTCGCTCAGATTGGTCACTCATCGTCGCCTCCATCCCATTTGTCGATATAGAAATTCAACGTTAAAATTCGCCTGAAATATGGCAAACAGGTTATCAGCTACCAAGATCCGACTACCGCCCATCGACAGCAGCATACATGATTTAGTAACTGGTTTGCCTATCAAAAGTAGGAATTCAGAAAAACGCAGAAACGTTTTGGATAGAAAAAAAGGCATCCAAGACCACTCGGTTATCGACTTTCCTCCTATAGTTCAGCCGCCATCTCTCCAGCAATTTGGCAGTTACGAAAGGCGAAAACCTCTTCGAAATGCGTCAGTTAAAATGACCCACATTGAAAAAATTCCAACTCAGTTTCCTGGGAAGAAGTTTGCTGTTTTACCACCGATTGGAGGCAGTCAATGTCAAGAACAGAAGAACAAACGAAGTGATGAAAATCCATCGGTGCAACCATGTGGGACGATTCAAGAATCAGTGGTAAAACGAAGAGCCACGAAAAAGGCAGAATCAACTGATTCCAGGGATTCTAATGAACTTAATCCTAATTCTGCAGTCAACAAATCCAAACAAGTTCTTAAGAGGCAAATCTCGGTTTTGGGCCTGGCAAATATTGACAGAAAACAAGGATACAAAGTCGTAAATAATGGTCCTTCTGACGAATCACAAACACTCTCGACATCGAAGAAAAAACCCTTCGACAAGTCCAGCTTAAATTCTCTAACCAACGCCGAAATTTTTCAGCCGCGCTCTGATTTACAAGATGATGATAATGTTATTGATGATGATGATGATGATGACGATTCAACCATGATGAAGCTCTCTGAAGTCCTGCAGTTTCTGGAATGGAGTAGCGAGTTGCGCGAATTTCTGAACGGAAAAAATTCGTCTCGACGGAACGCTACGTGTACTGGTATCGATCCTATGCTCACACATGCAGTTGATGTTATTCGGGATATGCTGTTGAGACAGACTATGGAGGAACTGTGTATGATGTGGTAGGTAAAAAGCCGAGATACCGAGACATTTTCAAAGGACCTCTCCACATTTATTATGCAGTGTAAATATTTATAGTATAAGTAATAAAAATGATTGATTGATTGATTGATAATAACTTACATTCTTATACGCATTCAAAAATCTCGAGGCGTTTACATACAAAATTGAACTGTAATAAACTTACAACAGTCTAGTAGGCTCAGTCGTAAATTTTATACAGTCAGACTGCAGGGGCGGACATTGCGGGGATCGTATACGAAATTTCAAGTTTAATTTCGAGTGCACGTCCTAAAAAAAGTTCTAATACGAAGCTACACACTCTAAATGTAAATAGTCCATAAACTTTAATAGTGAAGTTTAGAAAACAAATGTTAAACGAAGCTTTGCAAAATACTTTTTCCGCTTAGCAAACAATTTTTTAGTAATTCAATGAAAGCGAGTTTGTTTGGACAGACATGGCTCGATTTTATACTGACAGGTTGAGGGCATACAATATATCCGTAAAAAAGTTAACTAACAAAATTGAACTAATTTAAGAGGCATTTATCAGTTATTTATTAAATTCAGTTGTGTTAAAAATACTAAAACAATTATTCGCCTCAGGCTCCAGTGGCGGATCCAGGACTTTAAGGGGGGGGTTCATTTTTTGCAAATCTCGGCACAACAATAACGTTGTCTTGCATCATCATTTTTCCTATGAGTCACATCACTGGCCTAGGGGCATTTCAGTCCCATTTCATATTAAATCTCATGAGTTAGTACCATACTTATTTATTTATTTTAAAAAATATGAAAAATCCAAGGTACCAGCCGGTGAGGGAGGGGGGGGGGGGTTCATTTGCACCCAATGAACCCCCCCTAAATCCGCCACAGGGCTCAGTAAATATCAGGGAATATTTACCTCGCCGCTTGAAAACTCGCGTCTCGCTAAATATTCCCCGATATTCACTTAATAATTGTCAAATGTCCCAATTTCGCATTTATTTTCCTCTGTTTTCATTGTTTCTTACAATCCCATTCTTATATTTTCTACGCCATTATATACTTGGTAGAGTACCGTGTCGTTGACGGCGCCATTACCAAAAAGTACCTTTGAAATGGCTAGAGCCATTAGAAAGACTAGAAAACGTCCCAARTTATTGTATAATAATAATCTGATTACTTTGCAATATGTAAATGTAATAATGATTCATTTTTGTAAATATTGACAATAATTGTAATAATTGTGCGAAAATAAATTGAACTTGAACCAGGTTGAGCATGATTATATAGCGTTCGTTGTGCACAGTGTATGAACTAGTTACGTACATAACACAAATTATATAACTTAACCCAACATCTGCGCGCAGTTACAATGCAGGTTTATTTGTTGTGCACAATGTAAAAACTAGTTACATAACGCGTCGGAATTATATAACTAAACGCAGCATATGCGCGTGATTACAACTGATGTACAGCACAAATATTGATGACGTTAACGTCTCGAACATTTTGATAGGACAGCAGCTGCAAAGACCCCGATCACTGTCGCGCGCAACATTGTGTGGAAAAAGTATAATCATGCAAGTTGCTGGAAAAGTATGACATTCTTTATATTATCGTTGTGCGGCAAATTTGCACGCTCTTGTAAAAATTCTAATGTAGTTAATTAGTAGAAGCCATGGATGTAGATGCGCATAGATGTAGCGCACGGATCAAGCTAGTTATCAGCGCGACTACATTAAACAACATCCATAACAGCGGATCAGTGTAACATCTTCACACGATACTAAACGGAGCAAGAGGTGTAGTATAGAAATCTGGCGAAGTCGATAATTTACCCCTACTTATTGAGCATTCTGTTAAATAGTCCGTCTTTTCTCCGCCAATGATACCTAGTCGAAGGGTTTCCCCCCAGCTTGGGCGCGTAGGGTGAAGGGGCGCATCTAAGACAGGGAAAACCCACCTCGACTGAGTCTGGATCGAAAAGAAAATTATAAAATAATCGACTAAGACCAACTTGAAACTCCTAGACTAAATTAGCTATTTATTTTAGTTTTTGAGTACAACGTATTTACAAAAGTTGAGTCGAAAGGAGATCCCCTTCGTTTATTCGATCTAAAAAAGTAACATAAGATGAAGAGGTTTTCTTAAAAAAAAACTACAGATTGTCTGCTACTCTTATGTATCCTTTTTCTTTTATTATTTAAAAGAAAAATGCTTAATTAAATTAAATACATAAATAGAATTTTATAATTTATTCCTTCTTAGGGTTAAATTATGGAAGACATGCGATGCCAATAAAACGATTAAAATTAATGATACACATTTTTTTGGATTAAAACACTTATAGTACCACGATATAGTAGGCATATCGACCATGATAATCATTAAAAATTCAAAATACATTGAACTATTTACAACATATCCCCGTCTAGGGGAGGGTAGTGGCTAAATGTCACGTATGGGAATTTTTTGGGGAGGGGTATGTAAGTGTGTGTGTGTGTGTGTGGATTGTCAATGTGATTATCGTCGCTCAAAGGAAAGTTCTATATTGTGTTTTTCGTGGAGAAATGCTCAGAAATTACCAGTCTTTCCTCCACCATATCTATAAAGAGACAGGAAATCAACATCAGGTAAATTGAAAGTACTTATGTGCATCCATAGAATCAACAGCGGCCACCTCGATTCTCTATTCTTGAGTGAAGGGTTTTTTTGGGTGGGTCCCTTCCCTGAACCTAACCTGCTAAATTGCCCTATTTCACTATGACGTCACATCAAAAAAACCTATTGTTTAAACGCAAAGGATCATGGTCGCCGGAGGGGGTCAAATCAACGCAAATTCACCGAAAATTGTTCTAAAACCCGTATCAATCCACGAAGAGAAGTAGAATAGCCAGCAAACGCTCATAATATTTTTTAGTACATATTAACACATATGATATCTGAAAACCAGGCCATTTTAGATTAAACTGTTTCGCTAGGAGCAAATTGTGTTGAATTTTCTATTGGATTTGGCGATTCTATTCCCCACATAAACAAGCAGTGACGTCATAGTGAAATAGGGCAATTCCAATTCGATTTGTGAGTTAGCCGTGCCCGACTTTGATCAGACCAGAGGTTGTTTCAGGAGACTTCTTACTCTATTCGGCAGACACGTCTATTTCTCGTCAAGTGTTGATACTATATGCTGTTTTATAATTACTTACTTTAGGCTCCAGTCTGTTCTTCCATGCACGGCTCCATATCTTGGGACCTGGTTTCTAGTGGTTGCGCCAGGGGGCTGGTAAATAGATGTGCCGCTTGGCTGTTTGGTCAGCGGTGGTTTCCAAGTGGCTCCGCTTATACCTTTTATGGAAGACAACAAATCGGTTGGGAACGTAGGGTTACATAATCTAAATGTGGCATCAATCTTCGCAGGGAGAATAAGGGAATCTTGAAGGTAAGAGAATAAAGATTTTTTCTCCCAACCAATGAAATGAAACAGCGTTACCTCGCGCCAATTACACAGGAAACAGGAAACGCATAAAAGACGGGAACAGTAAAAAAAAAATGGCGTCTCGCCAGAATTTAAATTTAGGAGCTTCAAGTAAACTGAGTGAAAGGATATAAGAATATATATATATATATTTATATAAGGATAAATATTTTCAGGAATAGAAATATGTTTTATTCGTGGGAAAGGGATTGTGAATAGTCACCCCTCCCTCCTATCCCGCCACCCCTGGAACCGCTCTTAGATATGTGCGTATAGTATACATTATAATAATTGTCTATAACAGCTACCATGTAGAACAGCTCTTTGTGCCCGATCAACAARTTAGCAAGTCATCTTACCTCCACCCAATATTCCAGAGGGCCTCGTCGTCGCTCCACCTCCGAACGAAGGGATATAGCTCCCACCACCACCACCTGCTCCTATACCACCGCTGATCCCGAATGAAGACTTCCTACTGGTCGTGGTTCCACCATGTGCTTGCTGGCCGCCTACATTTTGACCAACTTTATGAAGTGGAACAGTCGTGGTTGACTGACCCGGGAAGTAGCGTGCTTGTTTTAGATAATGCTGCTTTGCGCTTGGCGGAGTTTTCCGTGAGATTCCAGAACCTTTGTTATCGAATATAGCACTGTGGATAAGAACAACAGAGAAGGAGTTTAGGTATCTAGTAGATAGACCTCTTCGGGTTGRGGTAACGTTTTCCCATTTCAGACCACGTGTCATTCCCTTGAGAATAAGATTATTTGTTTGAGCTGTATCCATATTCATGTGTCTTCTCATGTGCAACCGAGCGCAAGCCTTAAATAAAGAAATGATACTCTAGGGAATGACATGTGGTCTGAAATGGGAATACATTACGTCACAGCCGAAGAGGTCTATTGCCCCCTGAAGCTGTCAACTCACACGCTAACCACTCTGATAAAACAAGAACACGAAAAAGTATTTGATTCTATTCACAGCAGCGCTCTGTCTCGTCTCGGTCCCGCGCGCTTCTGTCACTGTTGTCATTCCCTCACCCCTCCCCCTTGGTAGCTTTTGTAATTACTACTATTATGTCAGGGTGGTTACCCTTTGGTCAACTTAAGCATGCGTGCACATCTAATGCTAGTGCTCTGTGGTCTTGAGTTTGATCCTCTTTTCCATAGAATCTTTTTTTCGCGCCCGCCATAATTAGCATAGCCTGTGTAGCGGGGTTGTGAGTAGAGAGGATAAGAGGGACGGGGGAGCGGAGGTCTCTCTCTCCCTCTTCCTCTTCATCCCCCCAGTCCCCCCTGCCCTTTATCATGAAAGAATCGATGAAACGAATAAAGCATTATCACGATTAATTCTTTTTCAATGATATTCTGTACCTCGTGATCGACTCTTTCGTCTCGGTTCTATTTATTGGAGGCTGAAACAAAACAAAAAAATAATTATTGTTGAAAACTCGGTTTTCCCATTGCTTTAAATTTAGCTAGTTGGTAGGTTTCCCTCACAATGCCTTCTACTATACTAGGATATTTAGAATTTGCAGGGGAAAACGACCCTGAACAAATGTTGAATGTTTACCGGYCATGAGAGGAATAAGCAATATGTTTCACATTGTCAAAACCGAGGGAAAAGATCTTGACGTATCAAATATCGTGCTACGAGTGCTTAAAAAAGGAATAGAGAGTATGTCCAAGGAGAAATTCATCGTAACAAACAGATGGAAATAATGCGACGTTTACAATCGCGAAATATCAAGATAGTGAAAACAAAAAAGAAATGAAATAAACAAAAATCTTGTTTTCATGAAAAATGAGAAAAATGAAAGAAAATCGAGAAAAAACGATTAGTCAGAATTAGAGAATGGGGCCAGGGAAGGTAAAAAAGACGAAATATTCCAACGAACTTCAAGTAGGATTAAATTAGATTTAATCATTGATAAGATACACAAGAAAGAAAGCAAGAAAAAAAGGAAGAAAGAAAGAGAAATGAAATGAAGAAATTGAAGAAAGCAAGAAAAAAGAAAAGAAATGAAGAATGACAGAAAAAAGAAAAAAGGAATATATGAAAGA